TTTTCTTAAACTTTCGGAAGTACCCCGGGCCAAAAATAGAAAATCTTCTGGGTTATCGAGTGTGATGAATACGAAAAATCACTTTTCAGCAACACTAAACCAACTTTATTCTTTTTGTTCCTGTGATATGATAGATAATGTTGAAATTTTTCCACTTATATGGGAATGTAGTTCAGACATTTCTCTACAAAATGAGAGATTTCGCGACTCTGAGTAATTCTTTATAATTGACTTATAACAACTTTTGTGGAAGTTCTAACATCAGTTTTTCACTGGTGTATGCTTAGTCTTAGCCATGGTATATTGTACAGAGTCGAGAAATATCTCATTTTGTGTCGTAAAAAATTGACTGAACAATCCTACGCGTTGTAACAAGACATTTTTTTGTAATAATTTTCGAAGAAAGAATTTATGCTATCTCTCTCAGTCATTCAGTATTGCAAAGTGTAAGCATATATCTACCAGAGATAGGATCGACTTGTATTGATTCTGAAACTGAACTAAATTAAACTATGACCTCGAATCGATTCGATCGAGTGCTGACTGTTCATCGAACTAATTGATGAATATTCGAGTAAATAGCTGTGTGTACATTCCTGTGAATGAGAAGTTGATGCGTGTTTTATGTTTTCAGCAAAAAACATATCACTGGAATAATAAAACTAAAGTTGATTTTGAGTTGCTGGAAAATGCTTTTTCGTATTCAGCACACTCAATAACCCAGAAGATTTTCTATTTTTGACGAGGGGTACTTCCAAAATTTTCAAACAAAATGACAAAAAATCTTTTCCATGAGAAAATAATATTAGTTTGAAAATTTTTTCTAAACTTTTGAAAGTATCCTTCGTCAAAAATAGAAAATATTCTGGGTTATCAAGTATGCTGAACACGAAAAAGCACTTTTCAGCAACTCAAAACCAACTTTATGTTTTTTCACCAGTGATATGATCTGTTTTTTTCTCTAATAAAAATGGAATTTTCCACTTTTTTCGTGATTTTATTTTAGATTTTTTCTAAAATAGTTAGTCGACCTGTTCAAATATGTCAACCAAAAAACATAAGTCCGTAATGTTTTGTGAAATTTATAATTCTTCAATCGAGAAACGTACAGAGTTGGGAAATGTCTTATGTTGTAGCTTAAAGATTTTTCTTTCAAATGAGAATTAAGCAAAAGTCTAGCTCTAATCTGAACGCCTGTCTAGTGCCAATAAGGTCTGTTTGTACAAAAGTGGCGTATACCAAAAACATTATGTCACTTAAACTAGTTAGCTGCTAGACTTTGCTTAATTACTAATTGAAAGAAAAATTTTTAAGTGCTAAAACACAAGATAAGATATTTCCCCACTTTGTACGTTTCTCGGCTGAAGAGTTATGAATTTCACAAAAATTTTAGAGTAGACAAGCTCTAGTCAAATTCTGACGTACTTACAATATAATTATAGATTCAACTTCACAGTAGATTCGTCACTCTTTAATTCCAAAAAGATTCTGATGTAAATTAGTGATACTTTACCATAAACTTGTTTTACGAACAAGTAAAAGTAGTTTTTTTGTTGTTATTTTTTTTGTTTATTTTTTATTGAATTTTTGTTGTTTATCTTTACTATCAGCATTCCTTTGCAAACAAAAAAATATGGGATACTTATGTACTGATAAAACGTTAAGTAAAGAAAACCGACACATTGAGGTGTATAAAATAAACAATAGTATAGAAAAAGTGAAGAAAAAAAGTTTATATCATAATTTCACACATTTAAAAACACAATTTTTCTAACAGATCAATTTTTAATTAGTCATTCAGATCATATTCATATACAATGTTAGTTTTTACCTATTGACATACACTTTTCATTTATTTCTTTTCTTTTCTCATCTCATTTTAGAGTTAATGATGTAAAATCATTTATTTTGAATCAATTATGTCTATTCATTATAATAGTACAAATACTAACATTATCACTGCTGATTTATCACCACCTTGTTCACTTGATCGTTTTGGACTTTTAACAAAATCGACATCAACATTATCAACATCATCTACAAATTATTCATCGATTTCGTCAACATTATTATCACCTACAAATAGTTTTGGAACTCAAAATATTAATAATAATCATCGTCATAATAATAATAATAATAATAATTTAACAACTGATAATTCGGATGGTGGCTCAGTTGATTCAGATTATACATCATTAGCTAGTTCAAAATTATTTGGTAATGGTTCATCAAATAGTCTTCATCGACAAGGACGTAGTCAATCAATTGATGAATTAGCACAACAATTACCAACAACGACAACATTTCCTACAAGACATTTTTCAACAATATCAAATTATAAAACAACTAGTTCACATATGAACGATCCATTACAATTTGTTAAAATTCAACCCAATCATGATCTTATTGAACGAGCACAAGAACAACTAACATTAACTGATAGAAGACGAACACAAGAAAATAGTTTAAAATTAAATAATTCAAATGGTACTACAGTTTCAAGAACAACAGCATCAATAACAAAGAGTCTAGAAAAGAAAACAGATGATGATACAGATTGGTCAAAAGTAAGTGAAAATTTTACTTAACTTGAAAAAATTGTCTCACGTAACGTTTTTTAAAAGGTAACTGCATCTATCTGATCTGCAGTATCGATCTTGAAAGTAATCCAATTCCTCAGTAAAAATGTCTCGCAGAGAAGATATAACTTTTTTCATTTTCAAAGTCGGTTCTAGTGTTTGTTGCTTATCCTCATGTCTTAACTAAGCTAATGTGCCGTTTGGTTAGTTTATGTTTAATACACAGTTTCAATCTATTGAATAAAAAAAGAATTGATACCATACGTATCTCTTGTAAATATCTATAAATTTTAGCTAAAATTGTTTTTTCTTTTTTGATTGTTCTACACTCTATGATAAATGATTAGAGACAGTGAAATTTTGAATTGATATAAATTTTATTTTTCCCCATATCTGCCATATATCTTTGAATAAGCAAAATGTAACATGTTGTCACTCTCCATTATCACGGAAAATTGCGAGTATTTTTATCACAACAAATATTCAGATCAAAAGAAATGTTCTTAGTTTTCATTCAATAGGAATTTTGTCATTGTTTAATAACAGATTGAATCAGAGTCGGAACCGGGCCGGTGCCGGTCCGGTCCGGTGTAAAAGTTTAGACCGGTCGGTCTCCACCGATGTTTTGACGGTCTAGAAATATTTTCAAACCGGCCGGTGATCGACCGGTTTTAAATTCTTAGCATTTTTCTCTTCTTCGTTCAAGAAAACTGACATGTTCTTCAGACACTAAATTTAAGACAAATGACTTAACATACAATAACCTATAATTAAAATAAGAACAAACCAGACTATTTTCTTCTTTTGTTTCTTAGTCATTCTTTGATAGTGATACGGAAAAGGATTAAATCCCTCTCTAGCTATAGCTATTACCGTCATGTTTTCCGTATCAGTATCAAAGACTAAGATTGAGAAAGATGACTAAGAAAGAAAAGAAGAAGAAAATAGTCTGTCTGGTTTGTTCTTATTTTAATAATATTTTGATTTACTGATAAAAGCGTCTAAACCGCCCAGTTTTTTGCCGGTTTTTCACCGTTCTCGAAATTTGTTGAAAACCGGCCGGTCTTTTTGCCGTTTTTCACCGGTCTAAAAAGATTTTTG